CCTGTTCAACAGACCACTTATCTGATTGCTTGGGTTTACAGTCTTCAAGGATATGCCCGTAGAACTGCGTGACGAAACATGCTCGGATACGACTTTACGACTTTAAAGCTGATTTTCTGAACTGAAATTTGATAGTATGTCTTGTCATCATCGTTGTATTACAGTATTAAACCTCAGGCTCACGTACATCTAATACAATGAGAGCATTTGAAAAAGAGTGCTACAGCAAAAACTACAGTTGTAAAGATCGGATATTCATGGCATCTTTAATGAAAGTTGCTAAATGTTTAAGATGACTTACATTGAAACTATCACTTAGCATAGGCATGGACAGTGAAAATGGGAAATATTTTGAGTGATTATGTTTTCGAGTATGTATTTGTCTGAACAATAACGACCTCAAAGGAAACGCTAGTACGTTATATACTTGTAGTTCGTTATACACATTTCGACTAGGTTATACAATAAGTGAAAGGGAAACAAATCGTCATAACCGTATTCGTGATATACGTATTTTGCTGAAAATATTATCCATCAAGGCGCATGCAGCGGCTGTGTGTCAGCGTGAGTGAGTGAGTTGGCTCTTACTTAGTCTGTCTCACAGTCTCTGAATCACATTATTTTCCCTAATTCCAAGCCCTTCCTGCAATGGTAAAGACCTAAATGAAGCAAATCTTAACCCGAATCTCCCATCTCACTGGGGCTTCTTTTCAATTTAAATGGGTTTATTTGTTACTATCAAAATTATAATATTCAGGGACCAAGCCTTAGTTTAGGTCTTACGCCGCTTTTAGCAATATTCCAGCAATATCACGGCGGGGACACCAGAAATGGGCTTCACACATTATACCCATGTGGGAAATCGAAACCGGATCTTCGGTGTGACGAGCGAACGCCTTAACCACTAGGCTACCCCACCGGCCCCTGTGTGTCAGAACAAATCTTGTGTTAACTGTTTCCAAAATATACTCCATTTTTTGTTGCCTCATATCACGTTTCAACGAATGCTGGCAGTGATTTATTTATGCGAGACGTTTATGACTGTCATCCATATCATAACCAGAGACAATCCGAAATTTGAACCCCGCGATCATAGGATTCTGGTGCGAATAGGGGAGCGAACTGCGGCCTTACGCGAATTGGCCATCCTCACATCCTGAGTGAGGTGAGGTGAGGTGAGGTGAGGTGAGGTGAAATTGGGCTTAACGGCGCGCTGGAGAATATTTCGCTCATATGACGACGTGCATGCGTGTGTATGTGTAGGTGCGGCTGCTTGTACTAGCCCAGACTTAAGCTGGTTTTATAGTGCTAGCCCACTGAGATACCATGCCGCAGTGAAGCATGAATACCCCACTCAGACACATTATACTCACTCCGAGCCGACCAGTCCTTGTTGTACCCATTAATGCCGAGCGCCAGGCAGGGACCAACAAGTACCATATTTTAACAACTTTTGGCATGACGCGGCCGGGGATCGAACCCGCGACCTTCCGCTCTCCGGGCAGACGCTCTAACCAATACACCACGGAGGCGGTCACATCCTGAGTGACTAGAGGCGGGATAAGGACATTGCTTCTAAGTGTTGTTGATGAGAGAGTGAGTGAGTAAGTTTGGTTTTACGCCGCTTTTAGCAATACTCCAGCAATATCACGGCGTGCTAGACCAGAAATGGGCTTCACACATTGTACCTATGTGGGGAATCGAACCCTGGTCTTCGGCGTGACAAGCTAACGCTTTAGGCACAGAGAAGCCCAAAAGTTCCGAGTCTGTGCGTACGTACGTGCGTATGTGTGATTGTGTGCCTGTGTGTACCTGTCTAATACCGGTTTTATTGGACTGCCCACAACGGTACCCTTTCGTTGTCTAACGTGGTTACCCAGACACAGCCAAACAGACTCCGGGCCGACCAGGGCGCCGTTGTAGAAAGCAAACTTAGACAGGCGTAAGTCTATGTTATGGTATGGGAGTTACGATCACCTTTGCGCTAAGATCGCTTTGTACAACGACACCCTGGGCCCCGTTCCTGAAAGCGATCGTAGCGCCAAGGTGATCGTAACTCCCATACTTTAACATAGACTTACGACAGTCGTAGCGCTACGATCGCTTTGAGGAACGGGACCCTGACCTTTAGAACTACGCCGGGGATCGAACCACAGACCCGCTGTCCTCCCAGTAGACTTTCCATCCACTGGACCATGGAGGCGGTCGCTTATCATAGTCTCTATCTATAAGATAAAACTCCCTGTCACACAGTCCTAACTGTTAGGTCCGAGCAAAACCGGATGACTGCAATCTGTCACCAGTATATTGAGTATTACGTACCCGATTGACCCGGGTTAGAATTGATCTTCAGCAACTAACGGGATCGGGTGGTCAGGTTTGCTGACTTGGTTGACACATGTCACCGTATCCCAATTACGTAGATCGAGGCTCATGCTGTTGATCACTGGATTGTCGGTTCCAGACTCGATTATTTTCAAACCGCTTCCATATAGCTGGAATATTGCTGCGTGCGGCGTTAAACAGCAAACCAGCCTATCAAACCAATATTGTAGGAGAGGCTAGTATCGGGGACTTGGTTCATGCATACCATCGTATCCCACTTACGCCTATCGATGCTCACTAGGTGGGGTGGCCTAGTGGTTAAAGCGTCCGCTCGTCACACTGAAGACCCGGGTTCGATTCCCCACATGGATACAAAGTGTGAAGCCCATTCTTGATGTCCGACACCGTTATATTGCCGAAAGCGGCGTAAAACCAAAATCAATTAATCAATTTATGATCTTAACCACAGGCTTGCCTCCTCCAGATTCGTTTATTTACAGACCGCCGTCGTATAGCTTAAATATTTCTGAATACGGTCCTAAAGCGCAAACAAACAAGCATGTAAACACATTACTGGAGTATCCCTTATGGGGACGGAAAGCGATTTTTAAATTATTTTTTAATTTGATTTATGAAGTTACACAAATCCACTGACAACACAGAGACGCTGTAACGGGTTACCAAGGTCTACCCCACGTCAGCGTGTCTCCTCCGCCTTTCAACAGAATAACAGTTAATCCTCCACTAGACGTAATGATTGTGTGATCCCACCGAGCATCTTCATCTCTAACGGTCCTTCAACATAGCTGCCGCTGAGCCTTGAATTCTTGATTGAGCTGGCTAATATTACTCATTGATAACATTCTTTGACCCTGTTTTGCTCCCTAATGTCTTCGACAAAGACGTCCCCTTAACGGATCTTCTATGAACGCAACGCTGTCAAAATGTATATCGAACGTGACATCTGGATTAGATTCTGATAAATAGATGGCAATATATTACGTTTTCAAATTATGGATCATATGTCGTCTTAATATGCATATGAGATGATAAAAGTTGATAAACTACTTTCTAACAATACTTAATTGGTAAATAAACCGCTAAAATTAAATCGACGAAGATTAAGATGGTTAAACTGTACCGAGTCGCCTAAGCCCCATAAGCAGCCGTTAATCCTAGATCCTAATAAGGGGTTATGTTAACTAAAGGAAGATTTCTATAAAAGCAGTTTAAATAACTGTGAGGTCTCATCTTTCAGCTTGCACCATTGACTAGGAAAGTATGGCAATCGCTGCGCACCCTAGTGGGCCCAGCACGCTGCTGTGGTCGCCTTGTTGTCCCTGAACAGGGGGTAATTCATTTGAGGGCCACAAACTAAAGGCTTCAGTGCGACTTTTCTGTAGGGAGGGTATTTTTTCCTGGTTAACGGAGAGTGTCCAGGTCGTTATGCACTACTGAAGCTTGGGATATGTTGGGAGAATGGGAGGTGAGGAAGGATTTGAGTTGAGGGTGGGGGTTGGGGTGGGGGTGTGGGGGAGGCTTTTTGGGTAGACTGGAAGTGGGAGGGTTGTCATGAGCGTGATGGTGTCTGAGAATGTTTGACCGAGTGCGTGAGAGTGCGTGAGAGTGAGCGTCTGAGTGTGTTTTGGGGGGTCGAGTGGATGGATGAATGTGTGTGGGGGTGGGGTGGGGTTGGGGGTTGGTTGGAGGAGTGAGTGTATGTGAGAATATGGTGGCGAGAGTGAGCGTCTGAGTGTGTTATTGGGGTCGAGTGGATGGATGATGTGTGTGTTGGGTGGGGGTGGGTGGTTAGTTGGAGGAGTGAGGGTATGTGAAAATATGGTGGTGAGAGTGAGCGTCTGAGTGTGTTATTGGGGGTCGAGTGGATGGATGAATGTGTGTGTGGGTGGGGGTGGGGGTGGGGGTTGGTTGGAGGAGTGAGGGTATGTGAGGATATGGTGGTGAGAGTGAGCGTCTGAGTGTGTTATTGGGGGTCGAGTGGATGGATGAATGTGGGGGTGGCGTGCGGGTGGGGTGGGGTTGGAGGTGTGCCTGTGTGTTTGCTTGGGGGTGGGGGTGAGAGAGAGAGAGAGTGTGTGTGTGTGTGTGTAAATGAGTGTGAATGTCTGTGAGAGTGAGTGAGTGACATAGTACAAAAGTGCATGCGTGCGTTTGTGTTAGGAATGCAATAGTAGGTGGGTTCTTTGAGAGGCATTTTAGAAGTTGTATAGATGAAAGAAAAAAAAAGTTGTATGGATAGTCAAATTCTTTATTGCAATGAGTGCGACGTTTCGGTGTAGGTACTAACACCGTTATCAAGCAAGTGATGTATTATCTAGTACCTACACCGAAACGTCGCACACATTGTAATAAAAAAGTTGACTATCCATATAACTTGGTTTTCCATCAATAGTAGGTGGGGACTGGATATGTCCTGTAACACTTGACAGTAATTCCCGGATCATGAACCGAGCACGAGTAGCATTTTATTTTGTAGAAAGTGGTCTTGCCGCAAACAAATCACAGCAACCAACACTAATTCATTAACGCACACTTTCAGCCCTTACAAACACCCATCTATCACGCCGTACACTAGCACTTTCTAAACATGTTTCCACGAAACCTGCCTCTGTTGTGGTGGTGATGGTGGTGTGTGTGGGGGGGGGGGGACTTACTCTCCGCCATCTACATGTTCACTCATCGCAACCTTGATCAACTACAATGCCGCCGAAGCATGTCTATAATTTCATAACATTTAATCTTGCCAACGTCTACATAACATATTAGTCTCGCATGTAAAGGTCCGTTTTTTTCTAAACAGTACCTCAAAAGGTGCAAGCTGACCTGATCACATACACATAAGGCATTATTTTCGAAGAGAAATCTATATAGCTAAAACATCAACAATAATGTAATATAAATATTATGTCGTATATGGCTTAATTTAATCATTCAAAGGTATATATATCTATGATGATAAGCACATGCCATTTTAAACGGCAAGCTCATAGTGATTATCACATCATCCAAGAACACATATACAGGTATATATGTGCACCTGTTATTCGTGACGCTTGCACAGACATCTCCTTCTGAATTATTTTCATACAATTATGTTTGAATTTCATCACAGACTTTATGGGGTGATAAAGCCATTTGATATTTAAAATGAAATGTTATCCCATCTTATATTTTTATATAAATTTATAACTTACATTAGGTTGTCATAACGATATGAATTTCCTTGCTATCCTTATTAAACAACAAACTAAAAACTATTCAATAACAGTCAGTATCGTACTAGAAAACTAAAAGGATAGGTTTATTTATCATTATTATTGTAAAAATGATATGATGATAAAATAATACCTCATCAGAGGTGACGACAGTCAAATCTTTATGGACTGGAAGGGATAAAATGAATTGAAACTTGGCTGAAAGGCGTAGTGTAATTGTTCCAGAAGGAACACCCAGCAGACAGCCTTCTAAGCTCGACTATTACCAGCTAAGATCCTGAATTCTAATTTCTATGACGGGAGTTAACATGGAATCTCAGTAATCTATATGACTTTGAAAGGATATGAGAAGCGTAGCCCGTCTCTTGCTGATCGTGTAAGATATCGGTGCCAGTGGATTATCTCCTTGGGGGCGCCCCCAACAACCCGTCACAGAGGTGGTCCTTTGTCCCACCGAGTATTGTAACGCCATAGGCACCCCCTTTGCTTTTTTTAAGTAATTGAAAGAATATTCTTCACGTAACCTCTGCCATTTTGCTTGACCTTTTCTCGCAAAGTACCCATCTTGAAGCTTTTGCCAATGAAACCGACCCATATTTACCAGGCGTAAGTAAGCTTAGGCATTTTATGACGGATAAACGCTGTGATTTACTTAATCCACGGCACTGTTGGGTGAAATGGCAAACCATGGTCTGGTTGAATCATAGTAAGGGCTATTATAAACAATCTCGGTTTGCAGTTTGATAGCCAGACAGAGCGTATCTCCAATACGAGCTGCAGAGGTTGTGTTTCAAAGCTCGAAAACAACACTGATGTCTCCTAACAGACAAACAGTTGAACCAAAGCTTGAATAATAACGCAACGTGATGCTCTCCTCCAATGTTGCGGGGGATCACGCATTAAGCTACCCCCTCCACCCGACTTACCCTGGGTTATTGTCACTAACACAAACAATGAGGAGAAACAAAATAGAAAATAATGCTTGGATTTACAGGGTAACGGGTGGAAAACGGGTGGGTAGGTTAACAATAGGCGGTTTCCTGTCGCTATAGAACGAGATAACATAACAGTACTGTTTTCCCTGCATGGCTACCCCCAGCGCTACCCGGGGGCACGGGCTCACATAGTCACCCTCCTTGATTTTTCAGCCAAATTGTGCAAAAATACAGCCATTATGATCATAAAGATCAGATTTCAACGAAGACCTTAGCCTGGCTTGATGCGGTGATTCTTCGTTGGTACTTACACGATAAAACGTTTGGCATTAACTTAACAGTGCTTATTGAAAAAGTTATTCTAGCCGTAGATTGTGGTTGATATACATTCATGGGAAATAGTTTTTATGCTTTTGCGATGACAGAGTTTTATCTCCGTTTTCTTTGTTAGGCGAACAATACATCACAGAGACAGCTTTTAACAGACACCTTCAATGTGATGATCACTCGTGACAAAAAAATCTTCGGATAGCTTTGCTAAAGCACTCACTGTCATAAACGTGTAACGTTAACTTGCTATGTGTAAACTACACGACATATCAATCTACAGAACTAAGTGTGGTGGATATGTAAAATATATTTTTGATATCGTTTTAAGTAAGCCCTGAAGGACATACGTTCATGAAGGCCCGGGGGAGAGAAAGCATTGAACCGTGTTTGACAGTGGTTAGAATGCAGCACACAATAAACGTTTATTCTATGACGATATGTTTATTATGGGTATGATATTTATTAAAACTTCTAAAAAATATTGCAATTTATCTTTAATTATATTTACCTGTATATATTGTAAATTTCTCATCTGTCCATGTGCTATATTTTGTTTATTGAATTGTACTCTTGGTCATGTGGCCATAATACTGAATAAAACTCTTCTCTCTTTATTGCTTACCGTGAGTGTTTTTAGACCAGTCACGTAGGTAATGCTTTGTAAATTCCAAGTGTTAACTTTCTTTCGTTTCTTTTTGAGCAGAGCATGAGCAGAAATACGTTTATATGTATACAGTTGAAAATGATATTATATTAAAACCGTTCAAAGCGGTGTTGAACTCACGGACCTTGCAGTTTGGATCTAGGCGCAATTGAGTCCAAATGGCCGAATTCTGGAATGGATCAGTCTCAGGACTTAATTTAAATAATGTATGTACATAATATTTTAATAATTACCCTAAGCAGTATAGTTGGTTGGTTTGTTGTTTAACGCCACACTCAGCAATATTCCAGCTATATGGAGGCGGTCTGTAAATAATCGAGTCCAGTGATCAATAGCATGAGCATCGAAACAGTATAGTAATTGATACTAAACATAGTAATTGTACATAGTAATTGACATAACATATCACCAGAACAAGCAGAATAACAACAGCGACACCAGGATTTCATGATGCGTCCATATCCTGTCTGCCATGTTGTCTGTTCGTATTTGTTAATATCTCGGACGGTTAAAGTGCTTTCTTTCAAACCGGAAATCAGAATTCGATTCCGTATATGTGCACAATGTATGGAGGCCATTTATATCCCATTGTAAACCAAAAGTCACTGTGTTCTTTAATTTGATTGGTTGAAAAACGTGATCAAATGGTATTCGATTCCCAGAAATTCGCTGCGTATTATTACATACAAACATCGCTCACACCATATTGTATTTAAGAAATACACTTCGCCCTACCACCATGTATAGTGTAATAAAACACACTTTTGCCCTGAACTATTATAACGTTAAAGCACTCGGACGCAAGCGTCCTCGTGCTTTTAACTATTATAGTAGTTCAGGGCAAAGTGTGTGTGTTTTATTACACTATACATGGTGGTAGAGCGAAGTGTATTTCTTTTCTAAGATGCCAAATTTAATACTTTCTAAAGATAATTACGATTAATTTAAGGCAGAAAACAAACGACGGTGTCGGTGACCTAAATTAAGAATCCTCGCACAGGGCTAACTGGCGCGCTGTTCTATTGATGTGTATGCCCCCTACATTAAGACGAACGTTACCAGAAAAAAACAAATGATAACAGTTTGATGACGGTTTACGTTCGGATTAAATATCTTCTCTGAATTATTTTAATTACATCTGTCATTAACGTAAACCATATGGGGCAATATGAACGTTGCATTTCTACTACCAGCGTAAGTTTAGATCAGTACATCCAGAGGAAGTTGAGTAGTCATGCGACATTCCACAATTGCATTGTGGGAATGTAAACATTACGAACGTTACCGTGTCGCTGAAAACTTGTGAGTCGAAATGACACATTTTAACCGTCGTAAAACATAAACGTAATGTTTCCACCAGTGATGTTAGCTGCGTGAAGCAACAGCAAACCAAGAAACTGGATGCAACGGTGTAGTTTACTGTAGGAGGCCGTACGAGGCGATGACAACTGACATGCATCGTGACGTCGCTTACATTGTGACGTAATGTAAAATGGTTCGATTACGAGGGGGCACACTAGAATGGGAAAACGGGAAAACGTCATTCAATTGTTACGTCATCAAAAAACTATACCTTTATTGTCTGATAATGTATTTTTTTTTCGATTGTTCTAACCGCTAGGCATCTTAGAATGTTACATCGTCAGCTGTGATGACGTCATTAAATCATATTGTGACGTAAAATCCGAATGACGTCACAAATGAGCAGTTCCAGATGCTACCATGGGAGGCAGCCGAAACGTCCGGCTGATGATATTTCACTGCTGTACCCGTACTCGATGTCAATGAGAGCAGACACAAAAACGTGTGTGGACCTTTTGGTTTACTTTTGTGTTTACAATGTCGATAAACATCATGTGTTGGCCAATTTCCGGGTGTTATTGAGTATTTGAAGCACGGGAATTCATTTGGAACCGACGGCGTCATATTTCAAATGAAATATTCCCGTGCTTCAAATGAATTCCCGCGCTTCAAATACTCGATAACACCCGGAAACTGGCCAACACATGATGTTTATCTCCTAAATGGATAATTAATGCTTAATTTTAGTATTAGCGCTGAGGAAGGCTAGACGTTCCAAATCATTCTCGTCAAAAGTTGAATTAATTTTTAAATTTCCACTTTAAGGTCTGACAAAAAGACTAGGATAATGAAGAATGGCAGGATCATGATTATTTCTGGGAAGTGCTGACAGAAGATGGATTTGAACATTTGCATTTATATAAGTGTTACATACTGTGTAAATGCGAATAAACGTGGCTCCACCCCCGCTCATACAACAGTGGGATATCTGTGACAGTCTGTACCTTTAATGTATAGAGTATCAGCGCCCGAGGCGGGAGCCAGTGTCCACACTGCCACCGTAAATGAACACGACATAATCCTTCAAATGGGGGATCAGGGCATTCTTTTGGTCAGAAAAATGGTTTGGCGCTTGCATGGCATGTTTATTTGGATTTATTTTGGAATTTGTTACCTGGCCCCCCGACCTATCACTCTTAACCAGTTCCGACACATTCA